TTCGGGATCGAGGGTAGACAGAGTCGTTCGCCCGTCAAAATTGTCGCTGCTTGGAGGCACTGCTGATGCTGCCGCGGATATTGCCGCATGCTGTTGACGTTGTACTCTCTGTAACGGAGAATCGGCTGTGGTCGTCGTGGCCATTGCTTGGTCCACGGCCACTCCCAGTTCCTACTCCGGTTTCGGGTCATGCGCCTGCACCAAGAGTGCATCGGTAGAATACCCGAGGATGCGCATAATTAAGCGTCCCACAGTAAGATCGAGGGAGAGATTTTCTTCTTCCACATAACACACCAGATTCCGCAACATCAGCTGGCGGCGGATGTAGACAACACAACTTCTTTGAAGGTGGCGATGCGCCGTACCAGGATTTCACCGGTGCCTACTGGAGTTAACGTGCGTTCTTCAATCTCCACCGTATTAACTTGCACGTTGTTGCTCTCTAAAAATTGCAGCACTCAATTCGCCACTAACGACGCGTCAGCTCCAATATTTAGCAACAGCGCCTTCACCGGCAAATCATCAACAGTGGCTGCTGTTGTACCACCCTTGGCGGGTAACTCACGTGGGAGTGTCGGACCGCTTCCTGCACGGATCGCACGAATGCGTCGGCCGTGATGATGTCGTGCTCGGTTACGCTGCACGCCGCGAGTCACGAGACTTATAGTAGTCCTGCAGCAAGATATCAGCCACGCCAGGTCCGGCAAGCGGGCAATCGCGCACGTGGTGGCTGGTTACCTCACACTTTAGGCACGGACCGATACGGCCGCTCCGAGGAGCGGTACTTCTACTCGTTTCCGGTCCGCTGCGACCGCGGGCAGCGGTAGCACTAGTCGTGGTGGCAGTACTCGTAGCAGTTATAGAATCTTCTGGAGCATTTGACGACGTGGCACCTGCCGTTCCAGCTGACCGTCTGCTGTGCCGGCATACTCGCCGACCACCGGAAGTGGAGCTATCACTGGACTCCCGGGTCACTGCGACGGCCGGGGGTAAAGCCGCTTGCTCCCAAGTGACAAGCTCGCGCAGCATACCGGTGACCCACGTGCAGTAGAAAATCACATTTGTTCGATACTGCCTGTTTTCTTGAAGTGAAAGTCGGGTAGCGACGACTCGCTTGAAGCTGTCAGGCGCCAGTGCGCCACCAAGATACTTGACGAGGCGCTTCTGCTCGTGTTGAAAGGGACGTCCACAATGTTGAAGCGATCCAGAATGGCTTCCAAGTCGGTTTGCAGGTACATGATGCGACTCTCCGCTTCGGGCCATTCGGTCCTCATCCTGAGTTCGCGCATTGGGACGTCGATGGTGGCGTAGTCCACGTGGGCTGCCACTCGGGCTTGTAAGAAGTATGAGATCGACTGGGCTTCAGTAACGTGCTCCGATGCCACGCCGAATTCGTAACGCGATATCATTCGCTTCGTGCGGCCCTCAATGCATGCGCCAACCGACATAACAAAAGCACCCCCCCCCACGTGGTCTACAGCGCATTGATGGCAGCTAAGTACGTTTCATATGAGCGCATGAATGTACGACGAATTTCCATTGTTCGCCCGGAGAAGCGAGGAGGCTGCGGCAGCGCCGGAGCGGCAGCAACGCGCGGACCCTGCAGTCGAGTAGCTGATAGTGGCGTTGGTGGGGTCCCCGGTGAAGCAGTCAGCATTGGATCATCACCGGGGCTTGCTGGAGCGGCGAACGGGTGATGTATTATTAGCATGGAGATTGGCTGGGCCGGGGACGTTTCCATGAGGGGGGGGGGTCGTCCAGCGTAATTCTTGACGACATTCTTGCGAGTTCTTCGTCGTCCGCGACAGCCATCGGAGCGACTTCTGCATCGTCCTCAGCCACTTCTGGGTCGGCCGACGGAGCGTCGGCGTCTTTATTTGCTTCAGTAGCAGCATTAGCGACATGCGCAGCGTCTGGTCTGTGGATGGGAGAGAAGATGTTCATCCGCGCGGAGTTCATGTGAGCACAGCCAAATGCTAAAGCTAGCTTTGTTCTTAGCTATGGTTCTTTGGGAAGTAAAAGCGGAACTGAATTGTATTCAATTAGGCTAGCGTGAGGGTACGTCTTGACATAGGGTACGTCTTGACAACAGGAAAATCCAGTTGTAGACCATGGTTTGCGCAGCTGGATACAGGAATCCAGATCAAACCTTCATTTTGGCCATAACCCCTCGGGGTTCTCGGCGTTTTGAGCTACAGGTGAAAAGTGCAATTAGTCTGGACCAGACTAAATGCGAAGCAAAGTTTTCAAGCGGTACATTTGAGCCGAGGGAGTCCAGACTAAATAGGAACCCAGACTATAAATGAATGTATAAGAAAAACAAGTTCGCGAAACTATCTATTCATCTGTCACTCTAGCACACTTCACCACTTTCAAAGTTATCCCGGTACTTACTAATTATCTCTTGAAGCTCTGATGAAAGTTGCTTCTCCTCCCAGATACCGTTCAAGCCTTTTGATAATCCACACATTATCATTGCTTTACGAGGAAACGTTGTGTCGTTGTCATCGCGCATCTGATTCACTTTGCGTACGCACCGTGCTTCAAGCTCAAGGTAAAACCTTTTACCTGGGTTTTGCAATTTACCTGACCACTGACCAGCCTTATTAGGCGTTGAAAAACATTTTTGCTGTGCCAAGCGTCGTTTTTCCTTATCCCACTCGGCTCTCCAAATGCTTTTAATCGACTTGATGATAAACGAATCTGCTGGTTGACACAAATGTGTTGAATTCGGTGGCAAAAATCTGACGTCAATGTGCTTTTCGTCTAATATGCTTGCAACATTATCCAACTTGTGTCCACTTGCGTTATCCATGTAAATAGCTTGCTCCTCATCATGCGCTTCCCGTCTGTTGCACTTCTTATCGGAGAGCCACTTGCTAAACACTCGCTGATCCATCCAGCCCTTGGGTCCAGATCGATATGTAACACCAGGTACATCATCCTTTAGGCCACGGATTGGATAACTGCTGTTTGCGTTCTGAAAAATTATCATGGGAGGCTCGATTCGAGCACTTGCTCCTCCCCGTATTTTAATCACTAGAGTCATGCCCTCCCCACCACTGACAACATCATGGTACCGAACAGATTCGTCTCCACGAAAGCCTAATGTTTTCCCGTCGTCCATATTTATGACGAAATGAGCTTCATCCATGTTAAAAGTCGTATTCTCATCAATATCACCAGAGTCAAACAAGGATTTTATGCGTCCAAGGTGGGCCGCAACGCTTCGCTCAATTTCCTCTTTTTTCTCTTCACTACAGTCCAGGTTGCCACACTGGCGGCGAGAGACCACATCGAATCGATCGCAAAAGCGTTGTATCCAAAGCGGAGTAATCCTATCTTTAAAAATCACTCCTTTTTTATCATCTGTACTTGCTTGATACGGACAGCCAACTTCATCGAACGATGCCTGGGCAATTTCAAGAAGTAGCCCGCGAGAAAGTTTAACTCCCGACTTGCGAAGGCGGCAAAACTCGCCAAGCAAAACGCTGTGTACCCATTCGACCCATGGGGCACGTTTTGGTCCTCGACCTGGCAGGGCCTTGAGATCAAGACGTTTGCGCACTCCTCTTTGAACTCTAACCGCTGACTTAGGCCGTCGTGCCCGAGATTCGTTTTGCAAGTGTTTGATATGATTATTCCACCAGTCGCTTGCTTTCTGAACGTTAGCTTTGTAATTTGCTCAAAAAACGGTGGGGTAAGCATACACCGCCTTCGATTTGAACTGCTTTTCGCCCTTGTCAAAAAGTTGCTGCATGAACTGCACCACGCGTTCTCGATCACGAAGCGTCGAGCAGATTTGTGGGTTTCGTTTACGTTTTCCAAGCTCTCCTGGAGATATGATGCCGATAGAAATCGATTCGTTGTTGTGCACACCGCTTATGTCTCCAGGGGCATGTTCGGTACGCTCATCACAAGCCGAACTCGCGCCGATATCGGTAGCACGAGTACTTGCTGCACACTTGGAGGACGTAACAACAAAACCTTGTAGATTCTGCTGCGCACTGGCGGTTGAATGGTGGAGTAGGGTCGCTACGGTTGTGCTACTAGACGCAGATTGCTGATTGGGACGCTGTTGAGATAGCGTTTCAGCATCTGAATGGCAACTTTGGCAGCGCACGTGTCCTCCCTGCTTCTCTTCAAGCACAATGCCGCAAAAGACATGATTCCGGTTGCCACATACATCGCATCTATGCGAAACACTCGCAGAATCGCCTCCACAGCCGTTGCAAGTGCTCATATTGGTGTTGGTTCGAAGGCAAACAGGGTTGTCGAGGCGTATTTCGGAGTGGCGGTGTAGTAGCTACTGGAAGAGCAGGCCATGTGGTGTAGGCAGCCCGAAAGGACTGGTGCAGAACGAAAGGTTGCAAAATGTATTTAGTCTGGATTGAAGCTGCTCGTCCTGCCGACACGAATGGTCGGGTCCAGACTGTATTGGAGTCCAGACTAATTGCGAGTCCAGACTAATTGCACTTTTCACCTGTAGCGAGTCAATGGCTTGGTAGTGGTTGCTCCAATCCACGTGGAACTCGGGGTTGAGCAGTAATAGGTGGCTGGTCAGTATTATAACAGGACGCTCGGCTCGTAGAGCTGCTGGCGCTTCATGTCGAGGACTTTACTCGCCGCCTCGTGGTACAGGCGCACCTTGGAGAGCTCCTCCTGGCATGACGACAAGAAGATTCGATTTTAGGGTGGTTGTGCACGGGGGAGAACAGTAGTGCACCCATTCAACCCAGTGGGGTCGAGAAGGCGTAGATCACCAATCTAACGAAAAACGTCGTATGGTGCACCACTGGGCGCCTTCCAAAACCCTCACGAAAAGTCTGATCGCTCCACGTTTAAACGCAGCTTTTATTCCGCGGGTAGGTGTATTTTAATCATGTAACTGTCACATATACCCCCAAAACCACCATTAAAAAGACGGGAGGGACGAAAGACCGCACGGCATATCACAAGTTACTTGGACGTGATTGGATCTTCAAGGAAATGGGGAGGCCATGGCGGATAGCGCTGAGTGGGTGGCACTTACCGCACTTGTAGCTACGAGAATGCGCATGTCTGCTACGCTTCACGACCTGCGTCGTCGTCTCTATCTGGAGTACTTGCGTTCTGAGAGGGAACGTCTGTTGCGCGTTCGCCACTATCTGACGGTCGGATGTCTGTCACAACCCGTGTGGGCGTCCTGGATGAATCTGTGGCACCACGGTAACGACCTCAAACTCATCAATATGACCAGCCTGAGCCGGTAAGTCGTAGAACGTCTTGGGATGCCATCGCTGGACTAATTTGAGTATTTGACCATAGTCGATCCTTCATGCTACTCATGGAAAGGTTTTCGCTCTTCTACATTATCCCCACGCACTACCCTAAAGGGGGCCGACCGCGTAAACTCCAGAAGATTCACCAAGTGCTGGGGCTGTTGCTTATGTTGGGCCTATGCAGAGTAATGCTCTTTGTATGATTTTTGGAGTTCCGCCGTCAACCCTCAGTCGCATTTTACAGGAAGCGGAAAAAGCTCTGGCGCGGGCTCTCGTGGGTTTTCCGCTGGCTCGTATAACGCGGCCCTCTTTAGACCGTCAGAAAGCGTGTGCCGAGCTCATAGCTCGTAGACAGCCGCTCTTGCGGTACTCTTGGGGGTTTACAGACGGCAAAAACTTTAAGGTGAGTTTTTCCAGCTTCCAATTAACCTATCCTGTTTAATACCGAATCTGTGATGTACCTGCAGGTGTTGCAGCCTTCCAACCCGGACGTTCAAAATGCTCATTATAATGGCTGGTTACACAGCGTTTTTGTTACTGGAATTCTTGGTTTCTCTGCGGATGGCCTTATCGTGTGGGCTAAGCATAACAACCCGGGAAGTTGGAATGATGAAGACATGAGTCTATCATTTCGAAAGTGCCTACTCAATGCTGGCTTATGTCCTGATCCCCGCTACGGGGTTGTGGCTGATTGTGCTTTCCCAAGCGGTGAGAACATGACCGGAAATTTTTTAACTCCACTGAAAGAAGGAGACTTACGCAAACTGTTGCCGTCCGTGCGGCCAGTAGCGAAGAGGCTGTCTCGGGCGATTACGTTCGGTAGGCAGGCCACAGAGTGGGGAATGGGCTCCGTTGCTAAAGTCTACCATCGCCTATAGCTACCGCTACCTTCTGACAAAGAAGATAGGTCGATTCGCCACGACAATCTCTTTAGATTGTCGAACTACAGGGTACGAACCTGGGGGATTCGTCAGATCCGCACTACGCATGCTCATGGCTGCGAGGATAACGCTTAACAGAAGTGAATAAGATACGTATTAAAAGAAGTACGTACTTCAAGATCGTTCGTTTAGGAAGGCTCTGAGACACAGTAGGCGTCGTTGTTTCCCACACTTGTTTATCTCATCCTTCATCTCTCTCATCAGCTTCTTCATCTCTTTCCTTGAACTCACCTACTTACTAATTAACTTGGCAAGTAGCATCATCATTTCGGAATGGCGTTCTCGAGCTTCCGCACGTTCAAGCTCCATGCGAGCGTCGAACGGACGGCGTCTTTCTTCTTTGTCATTCTGCCACTTTTCGCTTTGTTCTAACCGCACCGCCCTCTCTTCGCGCAGTCGGTCAAGTTCTTCTTGCCTCGCCCGCTCTCTTTCCTCTCTGTCACGTTTCTGAGCTTCGTCACGGGCTGCTCTGTCCTCGCGACGCCTCTGTTCGTCAGTCTCTGCCTTTCGATCACTCTCTTCACGATAGAATACAAGAAGGCTCGTAATGTCGCTTGCGCCAGAAGTGGTGTGCTTCGCTTCGATGTTATTGATTTGCTGGCATATCGAGTCAATACGCTTGGCAGTCTTGTAGCGTTTAGCTTGAGTGAATGTGTCGAATCCGAGGTCGTCGGTCAAGGTCGAGCGTTTGCTCAATTCACGCATGCTGTCTCTGACGACGCCAAGGTCGTGGCCTCCAAGGCGGTTGCTGACACTGGAAAGCCTCGGGTTGCGGGCTTTCTCGCGCGCGTCAGCGACGGCACGATTTGAGTCTCGGAATAGCGTCGCTCCATCTACAGAAGTTACCGGTGTCGGAGTTGGCGTCGTCCTGCGCGGTCTACCTGCCACGCGTGTTGATATCTCCTGTGTGCTTGGCGCACTAGGGAGTCTAATACTAGATGGAACATCGTTTCGTGGTGGGTGTCCGTCTGAGTCTCCAGGATTCAGGTGCGCTGAAACGTCATGATTGCTATTCGCACTGATTACTTCCTCGTCGTTCACCTCATCCTCATAGGCGACGCCGTTGTCTTCTTCATCCAGTGCCTCATCGGAGTCGGAGAGATCTAGTGCAGCAGCCAGCGTAGCATCGAACATGCCTGAGCTCGTAACGGCGACGCCCAGAAAGCTCGAGTCCATGCGAGGGGACTATGATATCTGCCCCAGTTGCGAAATAGCGTCTTGTTCTTGCGTGGCAGGCGAAGCCTCGTTCTCTTCGTCCGCACTCGCTGGAGTGTTTTGCACTAATCCCCCGTCGTTTATAGTTGTAAGTGGACAGTCATTGCTCATCAAGGAGGCGCCTCCGTAGAGTGGCGAAACGGGAGAAACGAAACTCGGCCTTGCGTGACCTGCGATGCTCGATCCAGGATCACCGTCGTTGCTCGAATAACGACGAACACCGGCGCCGTCTGGGTCAGGCATTGCACCAGTGTTCGAGGAAGGCAGAGTGTAGATGGTCGAACCAGGGAGACTGCCTGAGGCACCAGTGCCAGTCTCAGCGCCGTTATTAGAGCCAAAATTACCTCTGTTTCCCGAGCCCTCGTCTTCATCAGCACCGTCAAAGGTAGTGTGAGACCCCGCCTTCTCTTCAATCTCCATCTGGATGCGTTTGGCCCACAGTATCGCCTTGTAAGCAGGTTTCACCTCCCTGTTGCCCGACGGCTTCGGCTTGTTATACAGGGTTTTGAATTTGCGACGCAGCGATTTTAAATCTCTCTCGAGAGAGCTCCTTCCACGACGTGAATTGTAGTGGATAGTTATCCGCTCCCACTCGTTCCTTCCAATCGGAACGATTTTCTCAACAATTGCACACAGCAACAGTTGCTCACGCACTGAGTAGTTGCTGTAGCCTGTTCTGCGGCCGCGCTGTGTAGCGGTTTGTAGCAGTATATGTTTACAACTACGCTAAAGAAAACTTCCTGGTGGATTTGCACGTACCGCCATACTGCCGTTCCGATGTCTTGTGTCCTTCACAGAAGATCGCGAAATGACCAGCAAATCTTCATAGATACTAATATAACCTCAAACACTGAGATTCGAAAAAATACTTTGTATTATCATCTGCAAGTGAAGTACAGCTTAATCACCCTAAATCACGGTGACAAGTTGGCTACAGGTCAGGAAGATGCTGGATATATCTGTGTTCGCAGCCATCCCAACCACAGCGGCAGATAAACCAAAGCGCATCACCATAAGAGACTGTGATCTCGTCTCCAGGGAACACGTCTCTCACAGTGACAACGGCAACAGTGACATAGCGCAAAGTTGGCTACAGGTCAGGAAGATGCTGGATATCTCTGTGTTGGCAGCCATCCCAACTACAGCGGCAAATAAACCAAAGCGCATCACCATAAGAGACTGTGATCTCGTCTCCAGGGAACACGTCTCTCACAGTGACAACGGCAACAGTGACATAGCGCCCGATTTGTACCTCGTGAAACGCAGCACAGGGATTACAGGCGTGGTTGGCGAGTCGAAAAAGACCGCCAGCCACGCTGGCATCGATCCCGTATCGCTTTCCAGACTCGGAAGGCGTCTTCAAGTGCAGCATGTAGCCATTGTTTGGATACCCATTCGCACACGGAGGACCGAACAGCTCGATGTTGCCAAAGTACTCACCAATTATTGTGTCCCTCGGTATTGCACGTGAGGCCACTAAGCCGAGCCCTCCTTTATAAGGACTCTTGCAAATAGTGATTCGTTTGCTCTCTTTTAGTGCGTTTCCACACATACCAGCGAACGAGCAGTTGTTGCGACAACAGAATCGGTTGTTCTTTGCGTTCTCCCAAGAGGCCGTAGTACACAATTGTTTGCAGCGGCACATTCCACTCATCGAAACCGAAGGAAACTTGCAATAGATTGGCTTGATCTGTGTGTGTAGGCGTTCAACATCACGGGGCCAGCTGGCCGGTTCCCACGAGTTCGGGTCTTTCGGTGGGTCTTCCATCTCGAGGATCACAAAAACCGGTGAGCTGCACGTGGCCGAACTATCCAACGAGGCGACAGGCGTCGCGTCACAGGGTGAAGCCGCTCGAGATGATTGGGAGCACCAAGAACGCTGGGAGAAGGCCAAGTCCGAGTCGACACTGACGTCAAGATCACCAGCCGCTTTAGCGTCACGTGGTGGCTGGAACCGTGTCGCATTCAGTGGAGAGGACAAAGAGAGGACCGCTGACGCGTCTGAGTCGGAGCCGCCGTCCTGCCACATTTCAACGGTGGAGGCGATAGAACCCTCGTCCGATTGCATCTTCTTTGACGAGCTCACCTGACCCACCCTGACTGCCGCGGGAGACGTGCTCACGCCAGGCGCTCTTACTCGAGTGTTATCTTTACGAGAATCGGACAGCGATGCTATCTTCGTCTGCATTGTACCAGCGATAAAGATGCCAGGTATGCTAACGTTTTGATTCTTTGCCGCTGCTGAATCCGCCTCCCGTTGAAATGTTTTTGGACGCTTGGCAGGGTTCCTTTTTTTCTCGCGACCATCGCCATGAGCTCCAGCGGTGGGATATCCTTTGCGTTTAGCCCTCGCGTACATATCCACCGCTCAGAAATTCTGTATTATTGATCAGGAGTGGAGGGAATAACGTTAGCAAATTGATATGGTAGCCCACACAAGGAAGTCGAAGAAATCACCACTAGGAAAGTCGATATAAAGCCGACTTCGACTTGAGCAGCATCCAGGCTATTTCAAAATAAAGACTCCTCGTTTAGGCGGGGATTCGCTGAGCCGAAACTACGGCTTTTTTAAATCTACTACCATACAATTTGATATCCTCCTCGGTTGCAGCTTCAGGGCGTTGAAGATGGCCGATACAGTTTACCATACGTACAGTACATTGATGCTGTTTCCACAAGAGGGTCACTTTTAAACGGCTCGATTTTCTTGAAAAAACGACGACCAAACATAATTGTTTGGTCTGACCACTTTTTTGGTTAATCAAAAAATTCCCCGCTTTATTAGCTTTTTAATCGCACGCTTAATACAACCTAACCCCATCTATCAAACCAGTTTTATGTAGGTTTTGGAAGGCGTCCACTGTAGCAACTGAATCCACCAGACTCGCCACGATGGCGGAGATCCATACTATCCGTGGCATCGCAGACTCGTCCACTGTTGTCGCACTGCTACGAGAGTAGACAGTTGCAGCAATAAATAGGCGAAGTACACGCCGAGCGTTGTGTAGTTATGATAGAAGTCGTTTTGGCTGTTTTTCAAGTTGATT